TGTTTCTGAGAAGAATTATTGGGCAATTTGGTTTTAGGATAAGGTTGTGGGGGGGAAAACCATTGGGTGTTAAGCTGTTGAGAAAATCTTCAAATAGGCCTTGTTCTGAAATGTCAAGTGTTTTATCACGACTAATATATTCTTGAGTCTCACCTGGAAAAATGTTAATTAACAAGTTGTTTAACACATCAACAAATTCATTTTTTGTAGTAAGGATTGCTCGATTTACCAATGAAAAATCATCCTTGGAAAAAGCACTTAAATCTGGGTAAACTGTTTTGATAAGTTCAAAAATTGATTCTGTTTCACTTTTGTATGGTATTAGCAGTGGGAGAGGAATTTTTACTTTTAACCCTTGTATTGCTGGTTCTAGTCCATTTCCTATTCGGAGAAGGTAATCTGTAAATTCTGGGTCTGATATTGCTCTCATATTATCTGTGAGGTATAGTTTATGAAGCTGTGGCCAAATGTATGAAGTTACTAAGCTAGCTTGTACAAAATCTTCCTTTGAACCTTTAGTGACAACAGGGAGAACTTGTCTAAAGTCACCACCAAAAATCATAACTTTTGAGCCAAATAACTCAGGAGAACCCATTAAATCTTTTAGTAGTGCATCCACACCTTCTATACCAGTTTTGTGTGCCATTGGAGCTTCATCCCAAATGATAAGTTTAGCCGCTTGAATTAGTTTAGCAAGTGCACTTTGTTTACTAATTTTACACATATTGACTGAATTCATATCAATTGGAATCTTGAATCGAGAGTGCGCTGTTCTACCTCCCGGTAATATTGATGCTGCAACTCCACAAGAAGCAGTAGCTAATGCTATAAAGCCTTTTGATCGTACTTCAGCTAATAACGCTCGATAAAGAAATGTTTTTCCTGTGCCACCTGGTCCATCTATAAAGAAACATCCTTTTTCTTTAATGTATAATGCCTGCATTATAGTATCAAAAGCTGCTTTTTGACCAGGATTGAGTTTAGTAATTGATATCAAGTCATCCTCTGAAACTTTAATCTCTGTTTCACTAATTGTATCTCTTGAATCTGTATTTGAGTCATGGAATTTTAGTACTCTTGGCACCAGTCCATAGCTGTTTATGTTACGACCCATAGACTCTAAAAAATTGCTTATTTGATGCAGAACTTTAAATTGAATATCATTTTTGGTTAAATTTGGGACTCTATTGTAATCTTCAGACAATGATTCTTCAAATTTCAGCCAAAGGGTTCTTGGATTTGAGGGGGTAAAATATACCAACAATGTTGCAAACAACCTTCTTAGGCTATATGGCATATGATAAAGGGCAGCTTCTTCTAGACATTGTTCTTGTGAGTTATTTGATTCTAAATATCCTCTAAGTGCAGCTGCTTCGCGAAATGTAGTAACATGTACTCCATTTACAGTTTTTAAATCATCATAAGAAGTTGGACTTTTAACATGCAGTAAAAGGAGTCTTAGGAAGTACCGTTCACCTTCTAGGGGATTTGCTGCAACAACTCTGCCGATAGAATCTTTTTGTTTTCTAGGTTGCCAAGATTTGGAACTTGGATACCACACAAAATGCTCAGGAAACTCTTTGTAGGTACATTTGAGACTTTTTGCAAAATCATCTGTAGCATTCATTCGAAAAAATTCGGTGAGCATAGTTCTTTTTGCAAAATTGTTACTTAATATATTGTCAAGATTATCATTTGGTCGAAACAGCATAGATTGAAAGTTTTCTAGGTGAAGCTGAAGTTGTATTACAGCAGGCTGCATTTCATAAAGATGAAATCTGTATATTCTCCACATTGCTTCAGGTGCACATACCCACCGTGCTGACTGATATTCTTTGATTTCATCAATAGGATTTGCTTCATCATCTGAATTCACTTGAAAATGTATCCTTGCATGGCCTTTGTATATATACTTATACACATACTTGACAGCTTTAATTGTGGAGCAAATTTCTACATTTATATGGCAATTGAATTTAGCCAACAGATAAGCATTGTATGGCACTACCCATCTGTTGTCTAAGTAGTGTCCCCGAACCAATATTTTTTTCCCATCATTTCTTCTTCTGTATGTTGGATACGAATTCTGAGAATGTGTAGTTTTTTCTGCCCATGCTTTTGGGTAATTGTTCTTGCAAGACTTCTTTGATGCACCCTGCATACATACATTATCAGGTTTTTTCTCGCCACATGGTCCATGCATCATATGTTTCTTGACCATTCTAAACAGATGCTCATTTTGTGCTTCGTCGGGTATTTCTGCAGAAACTATACGATCATAATCTTCTGTTGTATATAATTTGAAAGCAGGCTTCAGGATAATCAAAAAGTGCGCATGAGGCAAACCGCGTTTTTGAAATTCTATAACATAAGTATATGCTGCTACTTCTCCAAATATTTGCTTCTTGAACAGCTCTTCTTTCATAATTTCTAACTTTGCATGAAACACACGAGCAATAAGATCAGGCCTATTTTGTGCTTCATCTGATTGTAACAGATTTTCTTTAATCTCTGGCCATGATTGATTGCAAGTCATGGTTATAAAAAGATCTGGCTTCCCAAATTTCTGAACTAAAGCCATAGCATCAAGATACCTTTTTTTCATATCTCTAGGACCTCCAATGAATGATGTAGGCAATATTACTCGCTGTCCGATTTGAAATCCATTTTGTTGCCCCTGTATTACGCTGTCCATAATTCCTTGTAGCTGCTCTCGACGTATTTGCTGTTGTCGACTTCGATAAAAATCTAGTCTTTGTGTCTCTATTTTAACATACATGTCAACTGAATATTGTTGCAAAGCTCTTCCAGCATTCAAAATATTTGGCCCAATTTTTTTCCTCATCTGAAATTTATATGCATAATACTCTCTCATGGATACATATTCCTTGGAGTTTTCATATGCCTTGTAAGCTGTAAAATTTAGAATATTTGTCAAAGAAGAGATGACTGCAATTGAATACAACTATACATAATGAATGGTATAAATGTGTTACCTTCTTCTTCAAGATCAATCATTTCTTCTGGTGACTTAAAGCTAGACAATGTAGCTGTACATGACTGTTTCGTAGTCTTTCTTTTGCGCTTTTTTGGATTGCCTCTTCCTGATCTTTGTATACCTGGATGCCATCCAGTTTCTCCAAATGGAAAAAGTAGTGGATACTGAAGAGGGTCATAACAGCCGTAGTAGTATTGAATGCGGTGACTGTGTCCTTCTTTTGTATATATCTGTATGTGTCTAGAATAACCTTGATTAGCATTGTCTCCTTCAACCCATAAAGCTGCAACTTGAGATACAGTGGGTTTATTAAACACTCGCTGGTCGTTGTCGGAGTGAGATTTTAATACTATTTGATATGAGTCCAGGTTTGGAACATTTCTCAAACTCCTGAAGAAGCAAGCATATGGATTGTCTTTCATTACTTCCATTAGCTTCACTACAATTCTTTCGGTCAGCCTTTCTGATATTGCTAATCGATTCTGAATTTCATGTTCTGTGTCATGGAAATAAAGCTGAAGATACATCCCTGATCCTCCATGCAGTATTAGTTCATTGATGAAATGGTGTGTTTGACCTTGTATCTTGAATGTATAGATTCCGTTAGTTCTCTTGCAAAGGGATTTGTCATAGTGAACACCAAAGGAAGTAAATGCAAACATGCTATTATAGGTCCTGACATAGGTTCGGAAATGTATAGCTTCTTCACTCTGTCCAGTAAAAAGTTCAATTAATATATCAGGTAACTTATTTTCATGGAGTAGAACTTCGCCATCAGAACAGCAAAAGTTTGCGGTCTCTGAGTAGAATTTTTTGGCTCCACAATATTTACAATCTGATGCATCAGGGAGATGGTCTGCATTATGGCTAATGAAATTCAGAGCCTCTACACCAGCTGCATTTTTAGATACTGTAGAATAATAGGAATACAAAGCATTTTTATCACTATGTTATGTGCATATGAAAGAACTATAAATAAATATATAGGAATGACACCTTTGTTTTGCACTCATACCTGATCTCCTTTGGCTTGAGCTTTTGCCTACAGAACAATAATGTGGCTAGTCAGGAGGTAAAAACGATTATGCTCCTGATCAGAGTATATAACTTCTGCAACATTTTCAGATACATTTTAGTTATACATACCTTTTGGATGATTTTTTATGGCATTAGAAACATTGGTTTCCACTGACTGACTGCCAACTGTCATTGATATACCTGATTAAGCAAATAAGAATGTGTGAGAACGTAAATCAAATTCAGTGACCAAACAACACTGGACAAATATTTGTAAAATTAGGATCAAGGAGTTCAACCTGCAAGATCATCAACTGTTTCATGCAAGAAATTAGAGCAGCTATCACATATAGGAGGATCATCTAGCAGATAAAAGCATAGAAATTGTTATATGAAACATAGACTGATAACTATGATTATAACAAAATATACCTGACGCATTTAGTTTATTGATTCTTCTGCATTTATAGATGGGCAACTTTTTTGATGAAGAACCTATATGAACAAAACATACCTGACACATTTAGTTTATTGATTCTTCTGCATTTATAAATGGGCGAACCTATATGAACATAAGATAAAATAATACATTATAAACATAGAAGAACAAAAAATATCTATGTTTAAATGTCAAAAATTGCTTGTATAAACATAGAATACAGAAACAATTTGTGTAGATTGCATTGGTTTTATACAGAGAATTACTTTTGACACCTATAGATTGCTGCAGATTAGATTAGGTGTTCCTTCACATCCTTTAGATCCTTTAGCTTATCAGTTGGTTCTCGTTTAGATCCTTCAAACTTTCAATTTTTTACCAGTCTGCCATACTCCATCTATGTGTTTCTCATAAGCAAGTTTAATATCCGTTGGTAATTAGGTAAAAAAAAATTTTTTTTTGGGGAATTCTTGAATAGTGCATGCATGAGAAGTAGCTAAAAACTGCTTATCCACTATGTTATTGTTCTTTTATTGTTGTTTTCAGCTTGCCTCTTGATTTAGCATCGGTTACAGCTACGGATTGCTGCAGATTAGTTTCTTTGTCTCCACCCTGTTGTAGAAGCTGTTTAATAGCAATACTCTGTTGGTTATTGTGCTCATTATTTTGCTGTAAGTTGCACCCAACTGGAAGTTCTTTTTCCTAGAAGTATTTTTTTTTTTAATTTAGTATTAAGGCAACAAAACAGAACACTCAAAAACTTCAGAAGTAACTTTTTCTCCTCTTTATTTATCAAGAAAGTAATTTAGAAGTATGAGTGAGTGATTGTAGCTTGTTTTGCTGATCGTTAGTTGTTTTCCTTTGCATCCTTTAGATCCTATAGATCCTTTAGCTTATCAATTGATTTTTGTTTAGATTCTTCAAACTTGTCCTTTTTTCCAGTCTGCCATAACTCAAAAAAATTTGTTTTTGGGAAATTCTTGAATAGTGCATGCATGAGAAGTAGCTAAAAACTGAATCAGTTACCATTAGTAGCTTTCCTTGCTTTCCTCTTTTGATAAGCTTCTCTCTGTTTAGCTTGACAAGCTTCTTTTTCTTCCACTGATAAGGAAGCATATTTTTCTCTTGATCTTCGGTTGCGAATAATGTTCTTATTCGTTGAATGTGCAAGTGGATCGGTTGAAGCCATGGTTTACAGTTTATAGCATGAATAAAGGAAGCAAAAGCTAGCGGATGAGTTGAAAATACATGCAGTTGTAGATATACAAGCATCACCGATAGAACAGGGAGAAGAGATGGCTCAATTTTCTAGTCTACAACAGCAAAAGTAAAAAGCTACTGTAAAATGACTATGTTAGACATCAGCTGAAAATATATAGTCTATTCAATGACTATTTTGAGGGAGGAAAATGTAATTAAACAAGACAATGAGCTGGCTGATAGAAATAAACATCATATCTCATTAATGCTGCACAACAATCAATGTTTCACTAACATTCGGCCGAGGCTTACAATAAGCAACAATCAGTTCTAATAGCTCCAAGAAAAAACACAAGCAAAAGATTAGAAGGACAAAAATGCGGCTGTAGAGAGCAGATGAAAAAAATGAACAGTGCCCAAAAACGTCTTCTTATATAATCAGTGCCCAAAAACGTCTTCTTATATATTATAAGGATATATTATATATTATAAGGATATATAGAGAAGAGTGTAAAACTTTTACATGGTTAAATAAACAAACTAAATGATATAAAAGAAAAAGCAATATTGAGGTATTCGATTGAGGAGGGGGAGGGATGGTTGGATGTTTTGGGGGAAGAAGTATAAAGGTCTCGAATTCGAGTTCTTCTATTTATATTAAAAAAAAAGAGGTATTTGATTGAGGAAAAAAGAAATTTTCTTAAAAAAAAAAATGGGATTTACTAGATATTTGGGCGGCATCAAAATGGGTTTAGCCCATTTTAGTTCCGCCCATACTGGTTCCAAGACCAAAATGGAACTATTTGGATATAACCCATATTTTGTAGTTCCAATTAAGTTTCGCCCAAATCGAGGTATTTAGTTCAGGAAAAAAGAGTTTTTTAAAAAAATAAATAAATAAAATGGGATTTATTGGGTGTTTGGATGGGATCAAAATGAATTTAGCCCATTTTAATACTGTCCATACTGGTCCCATGACTAATATTTTGGGCTTCCAGTAAAGTTCCGGCCAAATCTCGCTCATCCCGTCTATTGGCTACATCTAATTTGAGGACAAAAACAAATTAGCTGGGACAAAATTGCCATTCAACAAAAATTTCAAGAGCCAAGTATTCTTGTACATGCTAATTAATGAACCAATTTACTCTTAAAACTAATTGCAGTAAATACCACACTGATGTTAAGCGAGTACATGAGCAAATATTCTCTTCTTGAAGTACTTTTCCAAGCAAAGGGTCAATCAAGAAATAACCAAAATCCCGTGCATTTCATTTTTCCACACATTCCACGCGTTAGTTTTGGAGTATTCATATCGGCCATGATCTGAGTCTTTCCACAATTCAAGAACTTAATGTTTAGGAAACTTCAAGCCCAATCCCATCTCCACGTTCGTCCTTTTTTTCTCTACTCTGTCGGTCTGTCCAATATTCCGTGTTCTTTGCATTATTTTTGAGTGCTTTATTCTTGATAGAGCTCACACAACAATTCAAATCAAAGTCATTCGTCCAACAAAGTCTCCCTTCACGTTCACCTTCAATGAAAGTAGTGGTGCGTTTTCGAAGACTGGAAAAACAATTTTCTACAACCTCTTATTGACCAACTCACATATGAAGGAAATAAAAATGTGATTTGCAAAACGTCTTTAAGAGTCTTCGGAGCCTTTGGAGACTCCAAAGACAGTTCTCAAACACATCAGCGTCCATATAGAGCTGAAGAGTGTCATTAAAATCCCCAAATTTTAACCATCCCTCTCTTGCATATACCGTCACGTTAGCAATTATGATGGGCATGGCAAAAACAGGCAACTTCCTGTTTCTTCTTGCTGTCCTGCTATGCTTTCCTGTGGTTCCCTTAGCCAACATCAAGCGCAACATTTCCACGGATCTATCTGCGCTGCTTGCCTTAAGATCCAATGTCTTGGATCCTACACATGAATTATTGACAAAGAATTGGACCACGAGAATGTCAGTCTGCAACTGGCTTGGTGTCAAATGCTCTTCTCGCCACCATCGAGTAGTCGCTTTGAATATGTCTTACATAGGCCTTCAAGGTAGCATTCCTCCGGAAATAGGAAATCTTTCTTTTCTCAATTCATTTGATTTCCGATACAACAGCTTCACAGGTCGTTTGCCTCAGGAGATGGCCCGTCTGCGAAGACTCAGATACATTAATCTCAGCTTTAACAAATTTAGTGGAGAGGTCCCTTCATGGTTCGGCTTTCTGCCTAATCTTCAATACTTGTTCATTGCAAATAACAGTTTTACGGGTAGCCTTCCCCTTTCCCTGTCTAATGCATCAAAGTTGGAGGTCTTAAATGTGCAGTTCAATCAACTGCAAGGTAATATACCCCACGAAATTGGTAATCTTGGCAAGCTGAAGATCTTGAATCTGCCAGGTAACCAGCTTACAGGGTCTATACCACCAGCCGTTTTCAACATTTCATCTTTGCAAAGACTGTCTCTGACAGGCAATAGTCTTAGTGGTATTCTTCCCGTAAACATGTGCTTTAACCTTCCAAAAATTCAAGCCATTTTTCTGTCGACAAACCAATTTTCAGGCCAAATTCAGTCGAGGTTCAAGAATTGCTCAGAGCTCCAAGTTCTTGCACTGAGCATCAATAAATTCAGTGGAGCAATACCAGGAGAAATTGGAAACTTAACCATGTTAAGCATAATCTCATTGGGAGATAATTCCTTCCAAGGTTTGTTACTAAATATCAGCATGTGTCATTTTGCGTTGTTGATTTTTCACAGAGATTCTCACACTGCAGCATCAAATATTGTTTTGATAATTTACACGTAAAAGTTATTTTCAAAGTTAAGAAAAAGGGGAAAAGAAACTTCCCCAAAACCCGGACTGTTAATGTGCAAATATTTATACGGGATTTCTTTTAGAAAATAGCGTTTTTCTCCCCTATAAGTTATAAGAAAGGAAGTCTGGAAAAAAAAATTGCATTAGCATATTGTCCATCTACTTCAATATTCGTAAGCATTGCACATTATTGGGGTGATTTAGGCAAGCTAGAAAATTTAACGTGTTCAAAGTTAAAAAAGGGGCTGTAAAATAGTAATAATTGATGACATAAGGGTGTAAAACTTGTATTTGAAAGTGCAAAATGAGAATTAACAAAATATAAATTCAAAATGAAATTAGGTCTCTTTATGATAGTAATGTACTTTTGTTAACATCTGCTTTTATAATCATAGATTTCCGCTAGAGCCTCATATGGGGTTAGAATTTACAAACAAGTCCACGAAAGGCCTCTTGGCCAAAGTGGAAACATGCAGTTGCCTTTCATTTGTCTTGAATTTCCGAATTTAGCACACGAGGTTTACTTGTTTTTATCTAATTAAGAACTGCTGAGAACGTAATTAATTCTCATTCTTGATTCTTAAAGTACGGCTATTATGCTCTAAGGAGTTCTCTGGCAAGCTATATGTTTTCCCTCATAAGATTTATTTTTTTCCTCGTGTGTATAATGAACAGGTGAAATTCCGCGAGAGATAGGCAATCTCCTCAATTTGGAGATATTAGAGGTCGGATATTCTTCACTCACTGGTAATTACTAATCATCTCGATTCTCAGCTTTGATTACATTTCATCAGCTTTCTGTTTCTTCCAACTCTAGTGGTCGAGATAATTGATTGCTCAAGATCTCGATTTGTAGGGTGAATACAATTTCTTGGTTCCGAGACAATTTAGGTTGGATGTTGAGTTTTGATCGTTCATATCGAAATTCTAACCCTTAGAGGTGGCAATGAAGAAAAACACTTTTAACTGTAGTTTGCATGAATTTTAGTTTTTAAAACATTTTTATCATTAACTCCATCAATCCCAATCTTTTGTTACTTTTCGATAATACGAGTATAAGATTAAATGTTTTGGTTATGACATTAGTGCTTTCCTTTCCAGTTTTGTCCTTCAAAATTAAAATTTTAAATTTGAATATGGCATGACATAGCATAAATGAATGACAAAACTGTTAAACACATCGTACGTAGATAGTTTTGAATTTTTTAAGATGATAAAAAGTAAGGATAAATTACATATAATTCCTTTGTGTTTTCATCTATTGCTACATGTGATCCCTCTAAAGTTTCAAAATGTCCACTTTATCTCTTATGATTTTATATAAAGTAGAAACTAGACGAAAAATAGCATATGTAACGTTGTTAGGTGACATATCGATGGTATCCTTACTTAAATGCTAAATCAATTGATGGCTTATCCACCTTGTATAAAAGTATAGGAGAATTATCTGGATAAATGCAAAAATTATAGGGGGTAAAGTGGATATTTATATAAATCATAAGGGGGTTACATGGTTATTAAGATTATATCACAAGCCCTTTTAAAGCATGTTAGATATAAACGCCGTAATTCATTGCACATTCTAACTATTTTTCACTTTACATAAAATCACAGAGGAACTATTTTAAAACTTTAAAGGGGTCATCTAGCATTCTGTAAAACCTGAGGAGGTAATAAATAACTTACCCAAAAGTAATAGTCCACATGCCCAAAAGTAATAGTCCTCGTAAGTTGTCTTGTACAATTGGAAACACACCACAGACACTGAGAAGTGATTCATTCATTTGCTGCTCAACAAGTTCATGTTTTCACGGAGAATTCTTGCAGCCATCAGTTGTAGTTTACCAACACATACATATGATTATGGATTCTGAAGTACTGGCAAATTGCAGGTCCAGTCCCGGACGAAATTGGCAATCTTCAGCAACTAGAGACCTTGATATTCACTTCAAATGCCTTGAGCGGTTCAATTCCCGCATCCATATTTAACATCTCATCTCTAGTGGTAATTTCATTCACCTCAAATAACCTCGCAGGGAGCCTTCCTCCTGGTCTAGACCAGAAGCTACCAAATCTACAAATGTTGTATCTTGGAAATAATAAACTTACCGGTGTTATTCTTGATTCCATCTCAAATGCTACGGTACTTGACACATTGGAACTTGGCAACAACCAATTCACTGGTTCCATTCCAACCTCGTTAGGCAACTTGAGGTTCCTTGAGACCCTTGGTCTTGATAGAAACTATTTCACCTCCAATTCGCCGGCAGAGTTGAGCTTTCTTTCATCTTTGACGAATTGTAGAGGTTTAAAAACTTTGTCCATGTCGTTGAATCCTCTGAAAGGAACTCTTCCCTCTACAATAGGGAATTTTTCCAGTTTGCTCACATTCTTTTATGCAAGTATTTGTGAAATTGAAGGCAACATTCCACCTGAAATTGGTAATCTAAGTGGCCTATCAGTCCTCAGTGTTGGCGACAATTACTTGACTGGACCACTACAAATGACGTTAAATGGACTGTTGAACCTGCAAGCTTTGGACCTACAAGGTAACCAAATTCTAGGGACTATTGCTGACACATTTTGCAATTTCAGGAAACTGGGCATATTGTATTTGAGTCGAAATCAGTTCTCTGGTATGGTGCCAGAATGTTTTGGAAATATTACATCACTGAGACAACTGTACTTAGATTCCAATGGGTTCAATTCAAGTATACCTGCAAGTCTCGGAATCCTGAAGGATTTGTTGGAGCTAGACATTCATTCAAATTCTTTGAGTGGTTTCATACCGACAGAAATTGGAGATTTGCGGGCTGCATTGTACATGGACTTGTCAGGCAATAGATTTTCAGGCAATATTCCCACAACACTTGGTAACCTTGAGACCTTGATCAACCTCACCCTGGCACATAATGAATTACAAGGGCCAATTCCTGCAACATTTGGCAAATTGGTAAGCCTGGAATTGTTGGATCTATCTCATAACAACCTCTCTGGAGAGATTCCAAAATCATTAGAATCACTTTCACGGTTGCTACACTTAAATGTGTCCTTCAATAAGCTACGAGGAGAGATTCCCTCAACTGGTTCTTTCGTGAACTTCACAAATGAATCATTCATGTCAAATGAGGCACTCTGTGGTGGTCCTCCTCATTTGCACTTCCCTACTTGCCCTTCTCCTCGGGGATCAAGGATGAAAAGCTTGCGCTTAGCCGCTTATGTCTTGCTACCGTGTGCATTCTTAGCTTTTGCTTTAATTAGCATTGCAATACTGTTCATGAAAAAGAGAAGAAGAAACCAAAGTACTGCTCAAGCAGATTCACCTCCAGCAATAACACCTAAATGGATTTCTTACTATGAGCTTCAACATGTAACCAATGGCTTTAGCGAGAGCAATTTACTTGCAGTGGGAAGTTATGGTTCAGTTTACAAAGGGATGCTCAGGAATGGAAAATTGTCAGCCATAAAAGTTTTCAACTTGCATTTAGAAGGAGCATTCAAAAGTTTTGACACTGAGTGTGAAGTTCTGCGTAATCTTCGCCACAGGAATCTGGTTAAAGTCATCAGTAGTTGTTCTAACCCAGATTTTAAGGCTCTAGTCTTAGAATATATGCCTAATGGAAGTCTTGAGAAATGGTTGCACTCTGACAACTATTTCTTGGATTTTGTCCAAAGATTAGACATAATGGTGGATGTAGCAGCTGCATTGGATTACCTTCATCATGGCTACCCGTCACCTGTAGTCCATTGCGATCTAAAGCCCAGTAATGTTCTTCTGGATGAAGAGATTACTGGTCATGTGAGTGATTTTGGCATTGCAAAGCTATTTCATGGGGATGAAAGTACGAGACAGACAAAGACACTCGCAACAATTGGTTACATAGCACCGGGTAATTTAAAGTTTTTGCAAAAAGTTGATAGACAAATTGATATATTCATACTATTTGAGTTCTAACTTTGTAGTATACTAGTAATAACTTACGCGCTTTGCACGTGAATATATTTTTTCAAAATATAAAATCTTTAATATACTAAATTTCTATGTAAAATTTTGATTGTTGGCATAATATAATCCAAGAAACTATATAATAATAAAATTAAGCAACTGACAGTGGTACAAAATGTTTATTACATACAAAATAATTACAAATTTATTGTGCATTCTACAGTTATAAAAACATTGAAAATGAAAGATTATCATATTTAACTAAGTTTTTATTATAATATTGACTAAGAAACCATATGATAAACAAAATTAAACAATTGTTAGTTGTACAAGACATTTATTATATACACAGCAATTAAAAGTTTATTGTGCATATTACAATGACAAAAACTCTGAAAATGGAATTGTATCGTTTCTAAACTAAGTTGTTGCATATTTTATTTGAATTATGATAGCAAGAAGGAGAAATTTTGTATGTTGTATCAAACTAGTGCATGGAACAAAACTTGTGCACAATATATACTCAAACATTCTGATTAGGATACAACAAAATTTTATTAATTTCAAGAGTTGTAAATCTTTTCTATTATATATATTTTTTATAATTATTGACAACTTTTTTTGAGAATTTTCTTAGACAACATGACATAATATAGTGTATTTAATAATCAATTTAACCTTTTGTTTTCTTTCTCATTGATTTTTTATAACCTTTTGTCTTCTTATTAATTATGATTTTCTTCTAAACCAATATGTATGTAATATATAGTTTACTTTAATTATCACACATAACAATATAATAAATTGAGATAATTTTAACACATACAATAATTGAAGATGTGGGAAATAATTGGTGAATATAGTTGTAAATAGACAGTTTATACTTTTAATAACCAACATTTTTGAGATGTAATTTTGTTGAAACTTTTCATTTCTCTTTTTTTTTTTTTTGTCAAAAGGCATGATAATAACTCTAATTAGTGTCATATTGAAATGCAATAACTCTAATTAAAAGATATGAGGGTAATTTAGACAAAACAAAGATTAAGATCAAAATATCCTTACACTCTTATACTCCCTATTTTCAAGACTCATCATACTTTTAATATAGTAATGATATATAGGAAGGATCTTTACTCGTGCCTATCCTGCTTTGCTCTCCCCAGGAAGTAGAATAGTGATTCATATTATGATTTTCTTTATAGAGTACGGATCTGAAGGTATAGTATCCACTAGATGTGATGTCTATAGCTTCGGCATTCTCTTGATGGAAACATTTTCAAGGAAGAAGCCGACTGATGAATTGTTCTCTGAAGATTGGACATTGAAAGACTGGGTAGCTGAGTTGTTGCAAAATTCAGCATCGGAATTCATTGACCAGAGCCTCCTAACTATCCATGACCAAAATCCAGCAACATTGGTGAAATGTACATTAAAAATCATGAACTTGGCCCTTGCATGCACAGTGGAGTCAGCAGAGGAGAGGATCGACATCAAAGATGCTCTGAAAGAACTCAAAAGAATCAAAGTTGACTATGATTCAAAGTAGAGTAGTGAAAAGGTAATTTTTCTTTACTTCAACAGGCAATATTACATGTACAAACAGTTAAACGAAGCACCCAAATGTCATCACATGATAGGTAGAAGTCTCTGCAAAACCTCCACTTATTCTTGGTGATTTCTTTTATTTGTTCACAAACTAATGAATTAGTACTATGCCAGCAGTTGATGCCATTAGGAAACCAGATTTGAACTCAAAACAAACTTCGCTGCAATAAACTAAAAATTAATAAGTTGTGTAAACCTTCAGCAATGGATTTGTTGTAGTCCATCTTTGCTAGCTCTCACAAAACCTGTCGCATATTTAAGAGCTAAATGATCTGTTCCCTTGTAGCCAGCGTTAATAATTGATATTCGATTTGCTGTCATTTGTTTAATGTTTTGCCCAATTTACTCCAGAAAAGGACGTGAAGGCCAGCTCTCAAATTACAATAAAGGGAAATCAATGATTTATGAAGCAACTACATGATTTGCATCAAGATTTACATATGCAGCCTTCAGATCATTCAAGACTATTGTTTTTCAATGGGATAGCTGTTTTCAGTGATTTGTAGGTGCTTTATTTGTCACTGCTTGTAATACTCTTTTTTATTATTATTATTATTATTGGATTATAAACAGATTCATCCCATCTATATTCAATTTGTAAAACCAGATACACTTCAAACTGTGCAGACGTGGCCTTGTCAAGTCTGAAAATGAGAATCACCAGCTGCACCATTTGCAACAGCTACTTAATCTGTTTCTTGAATTATTTCACACTCCATACATGGTTAATTATTCAGTTCTTAAACCCACACCTGACTTTCAAAATGTAATAAATGAAAATTAATGTATATATATTCCGTAGATTAATTGGCAAAGACTTCCCTAAGCTGATCTTTCCAAAACTTCTTCCTTTTTCATAAAGTTGTGTGGACCCTGATCACGAAGTCAAAAGTTTATGAAACATCAGTTGGTGTTCCCCACAGTCTCTGTCAAATTTTAGTGGTGATATACCTCAAGAAATTGGAAATTTGAATGCCGCAGTATCCATAGACTTGTCAGGGAATAAGCTTTCAGGAAATATACTGACGACTGTCAGGGATCTGCATAACTTGATTAACATATCATTGGCAGATAATGAATTACAAGGGCCGCCTCTGCCTGAGACTTTGGGAAACATGTTGAGCCTGGAATCATTAGATCTATCTCAAAACAATCTCACCGGAGAGATTCCTACATCATTAGGATCACTCTTGCATTTGAAGTATTTCAATGTGTCATTCATTTACTTAAATGGAAAAATTCCTGCAAATGGTTCTTTCCTCAATTTCACGGCTGAATCTTTTATGTCCAATGAAGGATTACGTGGTGGTACTCCTCATATGGGATTCCCTCCTTGCCCCAAATCAAGGAGAAAAAGGTTCCCCAGAGTTTTGTACATCTGGTTGCCAATGCATTGACTGTCTTTGCTATAATTAGCATAGTGTTGGCTCTCATGAAGACTCTGCGTAGAAACCAAAGTAATTCTCAAACAGATCCACTCAGTCCAACATTGCATGAAAGAATTTCATATTATGACCTTGTACATGCAACTAATATTTTTGATTGAAACAAACTTGATTGGAAGTGGGAGCAATGGTTCAGTTTACAAAGGGGTTTTGAGGGATGGGAGTGTTTTGGGAATAAAAGTTTTCAATTTGCAAGTAGAAGGAGCATTCAAAAGTTATGATGCAGAATGTGAAGTTCTGCATGACACTTACCATCAAATCTGGTTAAAGTCATTAGTAGTTGCTCCAACAATGATTCTAAAGCTTTAGTTTTGGAGTACATGCCTAATGGAAGCCTTGAAAGGTGGTTGTATTCTCAGAACCACTTTTTGGATTTCCTGCAAAGACTGAACATAATGATTGATGTAGCAACCGCATTGGATTCCCTCCACAACGGCTACTCGTCAACTATAGTCCACTGTGATCTAAAGCCTGGCAATGCTCTTCTGGATGAAGACATGACCGGTCATGTGGGAGACTTTGACATTTCAAAGTTACTTAGTGGAGGTGACGGAATGGCACAAACCAAGACACTCGCAACAATTGGCTACATTGCACCAGGTGACTCAAAACTTTGATTTTGTATTAGCATCCTGATGCATTTATGTTGTAAAGTTCCACAGTTTTGGTCTATTTATTTTTTTCTTGTGTTTACTCCATTTTGTTTTCCTCCACAAGCAGAGTAATAATATTGATTCCATAATTTGCTGCATAGAGTATGGATCTGAAGGTAAAGTGTCCATAAGCTGTGATGTCTCTAGCTTTGGCATTCTAATGATGGGAACATTTTCAAGAAAGAGCTCGACTGATGACATGTTCAGTGAAGAACTGAAGATTGTGGATTGAAGGACTGGGTAAGGGATCTGTTGCACCATTCAGAAATAGACTTAATAGACGACATCTTAATAACATCCCAAGGCATGAATTCAACAAGAATGGTGCAATGTATCTCAAAAATCATGGAACTGGCCCTGACATTCACAGCAGAATCATCAGAGGAGAGGATTGACGTAAAAGATGCTCTGAATGAACTCAAAAAGATCAAAGTTCGATTTCTTTCAAAGTGGATAGTGAAAAGGTATGAAATGCTCTTTACTTCTACTGGAAATATTACATTTACAAACAGTTAAACATTTGTCCAATTCATTTGCAATATTTTTAAGCAATAAAATATGTAGGAACTAGGTGGTTTCGTTTATTTGTTTGTCTTTTTTAAATGTTGCTACAAGCTAATGAATCAGTACTATAACGGCACTTGAAGCCATCACAAACCTCTCAATTTGAAACAAACTTCAACGACTATGAATGCAGTGCAAGAAACCAGAAATAAACTAGTTATATGAATCTTGATTTCTTAAGGAATATCAACAATTTCTGAAAAACCCTGATTTTCCTAAGTTGAGAAGCTTGGTGTCACCTTCTGAGATGATTTTTTGAACCTTTTAATTGACTGCAGAGAAGGGTCACGGTTGTAAAACTTTAAGTTACTGAAAGCCTCTAAAGATCATTCAGGGTGCATGTGAGATTTAAGCCGGTGAATAACCAAAAAAGAAAATTTGGATGAAGAGACTACTACTCTAATCAAAAGACAGATTGTAAAAACATATTTTGATGTACGGTGAACATACCACGTATATATTCAGGCGTAGCATAAAGGTAGAGAGTGGCATAGAGGTCAATACAAGAAGTGGCAACGGGAATCTCAAGTATTTTTCCACCCATGAGATGGGCATTTTCCAAATTTCCTTAAACATTTCGGTTAAAGAGAATATATTAACATTGGAGCTAGACTGCTATTTCCATTTCTATTTGAAAGATTCCAGCAGGAACTAAGGGCAGGAACTGGACTATTCATGGTCCTAAATTTACTAACAAGGTGAAAATTCGAATTGTAAGGATCAAAAAATACTGTTACGTAATTCTAGCATTCCTATTATGTAAGGGTCCACATGAATAATAATTCAATAAAATGTCCCTGTTATGAAGATGTACAAACTATTTACATTAAGTTACAACTTGTTAAAAAGCTCTTGTATTGTTCAGTAACGGCTGCATCCCTTTCCATTGTGGTAGTTTGCAGTGTCTTTCCTTGTTGTAGTATGTTTTACCCACATTTTTTTGGGAAATTTTTCATATTAACACTAGGACGGCTTTTATTGTCATGATTCATTGAAATATAGGATTTTGGTGAGATATTTGAGATGCAAATTAAGATAAAAGAGTATCGTTGTCATTGAGTTGGCAAAAGAGGTGAGTGAAGAGTATATATCTTATGCTAATTGCATTGATTGGCAACTTGATTAATCGAATCGAGTTTGGTAACCAATTATGATATGCTGCACCGATGAGGGAGCTGTGAGTCTCCATTCCTAGGGAGACAACTTTACTCGCATAGAGAGCTGGGGAGAGTTTTTAATTCCTAATCACATTACACAGCTACTAGAATAGTTGAGACGGGGGAAAGCAATAACCGGGAAAGAAACCATCGAACACAGATATGAGATGGTCACACACTGCAATTTACCTTCTTCTAGGCACCTTATAAGACGCAGCCTGTCAGCAAGTTCCATTCCTGAATCCACATTCGATGAAGGTAGCTTCGTTTTTAATTTGGCTTTCTGATGGCTTAACCTGGATTTTGCATTCAAGCAAAGAAATTTTATGCATTTGCTTTACTTTTACTCGGTCTTTAAGAAGTGATGATGAAGCATTGAATCTTTACCTTTAGATAATTCACTTGGAGAGAAATTGAACTTTGATATTTTTTAGTTCATTTAGTGCATCTTTTATGTCAATCCTCTCCTCTGGTGATTTCACTGTGCATGTGACCGCCATTTCCATGATTTTGAAGATACATTGGACGATTGTTGTTGAATTTTCATCCGGGGGAGTTATCAAGTTGTGGTCAACTAGATCCAGTTCTGGATTTTGCAGCAAATGCCTCACCCAGTCCTTCAATCCACAATCTTCTGTGAACATTTCATCAGTCGGCTTCTTTCTTGAAAATGTTTCCATCAACAGAATGCCAAAGCTATAGACATCACACTTTCTCGACACTTTACCTTCAGATCCATACTCTAGTAGAAATGATAACATCAACATTATTATCCTACTCGTTGAGAAAGGTAACATGAGATAAACACGAGAAAATTCACACAACGGGGTTATGAATACAGCACATATGCATCAGTTGGGGTATCGATTAGGATTAGAAACTTAAGTCACCTGGTGCTATGTAGCCAATTGTTGCAAGTGTATTTGTCATTGCTTTACTTTCACCTCCACTAAGTAACTTTGCAATGCCAAAGTCACCCACGTGACCGGTCATGTCTTGATCCAGAAGAACATTGCTGGGCTTCAGATCACAGTGGACAATAGGTGATGAATAGCCATGGTGGAGATAATCCAGTGCAGTTGCTACATCTATTACTATGTTCAGCCTTTGCCGGAAATCCAAGAAATAGTTGTGAGAATACAACCACCTTTCAAGGCTTCCGTTAGGCAAGTACTCCAAGACTAAAGCTCTAAAATCAAGGTTAGAGCAACTGCCGATGACTTTTACCAGATTTCGATGGCGAATATTACGCAGGACTTCACATTCTGAATCGAAGCTTTTGAATGCTCCTTCAACTTGCAAATTGAAAACTTTTATTGCCAGAATACTCCCATCCCTAAGGACTCCCTTGTAAACGGAACCATAGCTCCCTTTTGCAATCATGTTGCTTTCACCAAAATCATTAGTTGCATGTACGAGGTCGTAGTATGAAATCCTTTCATGTGCGGTTGGAGGGAGTGGATTTGTTTGAGCATGATTTCTGCTTCTACGCTGTGCCATGATGAGCACTAACTCGAAGATAATTACTGCAAAAACTGTCAATGCTGTTGGTAACAAGATGTATGCAAATCTGGGGAACCTTTTCCTCCTCGATGCTTGAGGAGAATTGTTTGGGCAAGGAAGGAGTCTCAAGTGAGCAGGACCACCGCAAAATCCTTCATTGGACATGAATGATTCAATTGTGAATTTGAGGAAAGAACCATTTTCTGGGATTTTTCCGTGCAGGTGGTTGAATGACACATTAAAATACTTCAAATGTGAAAGTGATATTAACGATGTAGGAATCTCTCCAGTGAGATTGTTTTGAGATAGATCTAATGATTCCAAGTTCACCATCTTACCTACTACCTCAGGGATAGATCCTTGCAGTTCATTGTCTGCCAATGTGAAACTAATCAAGTTCTTAAGACTTCCAACCGATGCCGGAATATTTCCTGAAAACTTATTCCTTGACAAGTGTATTTGTGGCCAACAAATTTCCAATTTCTTGAGGTATGAAACCACCAAAAGCATTTGAGTGGACATCTAAAGACATCAGATCCTTTAGGTTCCAGAGGCTGGCAGGTATGGTGGCATTTAATCCGTTGGAGGACAGATTAAGCTTTCCCAGAGAAGACATATTTCCCAAGCATTCTGGAAGTTGACCTGAGAATTTATTTTGACTCAGGTCTGATAGAGTTAAACTCCTGAGATTGCAAAAATTAGGTGAGATGGCCCCTGAAATCGTATTATTTTGAAGTTCTAATCCTTGGAGATTCGGTAACCCTTGGAATGTCAACGGAAGTTGGCCCTTGAAGAAATTGCTGCTAAGATCCAGGCTTATCATCCTACTAAAATTTCCAATCTCAGGTGGAATGCTGCCTTCTAATTCACAATTACGAACAAGGAATTTTTGAAGAGAACTGGAAAAATTGGCTATGGTACGTGGAATAGTACCTTTAATGGAAACATAATCCAATATCAAAAGTTTCAAACTTTTAAGATTCGTCCAAGATGAAATAATGCTTAACTCGTTGGGATAAGCTGCGGTAGTTAAATAATTGCTTGCAACATTAAGAGTTTCAAGGAGATTCAAACTGCCAAGTGATCTGGGAATTGAACCAGTGAAATGGTTCATGCTGAGCTCCAAAATAACTAGCTTAGTCATATTTGAGATGGAATCAGGAATCACCCCAGATATTTCATTATGCGCCACATTCAATCTTTCTAGATTAGATAGCATGCGGCCTATGCTAGGTGGAAGACTTCCTGAAAGGTCGTTCAGGGTCAATAAAATCCATCTCAGGGCAGAGATGTTGAACATGGTTACTGGAATTTCACCACTCAAGCCACTAGCAGCTAAGTTTAATATATTCAATTTCTGAAGATTGCCAATATCTTTCGGTATTGGACCTGCCAAAATTTGAGAATGCAAAAAAAAAAAAAAAAACATGCTTCAGAATACTCGTGCATACAGACTCAATTGTAAAAATAAATCTTACATTAACAGCTAGAAATATTACCCCTCTAGTCGATTGTTTATTTGAGAAAATCAAGAGAACAAAACCAGGCGCCCCACCCTTAAGGATTGCCTAAATCAGCGTTTATTTAACCAAAACAAAAAACAAAAAAACACAGATACTATGAATTAGTGATAGAGGGTAATCTTATAGTTTGACCTACTGTGGACGGAAATTATTTTTGAATAGATAAATAGGGAATGATATTTTGGTGTGTAAATGAAAACAAGGTTTCGTATAGTTCTAAGCATGTCATAATAGTGATTTACAAGCCAATGAATCTCAGCAGAAAAAACTTTTCTTTTCTCTGGCCGACAAAGATTGAAAATGTTTCCAAACTTGAAAAATGCACTCGTTACAGCGTCTGTTTCTTATAGTTAAATCACCTCTATATATTTTCTTAAAACCTTTGCTGCCAATAAATATCTAAAGTAACCACTGTTTGGCCCAACAGTGGGGGAGGGATTTTAGAGTCTTACTCGCTATGAGATTTCGGGGTCGAATTCCTGTGCTTGACCGTTAGAGGTAGGAAGGGTATGACAAGGGATGGGAGCGTTAATATCTAAAGTAAAGTACTACAATATTTTTTGACATGTAATTGCACAAAGAAGGTCAAACTCTGTCGCACTAAATGACTTTCAAGAGTTATCGAAATTTTCTAGTAGAGATCAGATTATATTAGTAACTAAACATAAGCGTATCTTATAAAAGTTGTAACATGACAGAATGAATTGCCAACTCAAGATTTCTCTAACTATTTAATTAGGATAAACTCAATTCGTTTCCTGCCGAAGATTAGTTTCTCAAACCATTTAATTACACCAAAACAACTTTAGTACTTACCGTTAAGGGAACATCCATCAATAGCTAAAGACTCCAAATTCTGGAGATTACCAATCTCCGCTGGGAATCCGCCTGCAATGGTATTGTGCACAAAAATCAAATCGCCAGCCATAATATCATGTAGATTTCTCTTTTTTAATGAAAGAAAAGATGACAGCATTTAAAAACCATGACGGCTAGAAGAAAAAAAAAAGAAGTTACCTGTGAATCTGTTCTGACCCAAACCCAAAAGCTTTAGCATGGTTAAGTTTCCAATCTCTCTTGGCAGTTTTCCGCTTAAATAATTGTTGTTCAATGACAGTTCCTCAAGTTCTGAGCAGTTGTCGAACCGCGACAGAATTTGGCCTGATAATGTGTTATAGGATATGTCAAAGCCTTGAAGTCCTGAAAGCTTAGAGCACAGGTTCACCGGCAGGTTGCCAGATAGCAAGTTATTTGTCAAATTGACTATTTGCAGGGACGAGATGTTGAAAAGGGTTAATGGTATAAACCCTGTAAGCTGGTTCTTTGCCATTCTAAAGATCTTCAAGTTGACAAGATTGCCAATTTCTTGGGGAACATTTCCTTGCAATTGATTGAACATGATACTTATGGACTCCAACTTTGATGCATTAAATAGGGAAATCGGAATGGCACCTGTGAAGCTGTTATTTGACAAATCCAGGACTCGAAGGTTAGGCAGAGAACCGAACCACGAAGGAACCTCTCCACCAAAATTATTGAAGGCAAGACTAATATATTTGAGTCTGCGAAAATGCACCATTCTTTCTTCCATGGGCAAATTTCCCTGGAAATTGTTGCCACTGAGGTCAATAGAATTGAGAAAAGAGAGGTTTCCTATCTCTGGAGGGATGCTACCTTGAAGGCCTAAATAAGAGAGATTCAAGGAGACAACTCTATGGTGGCGAGAGGAGCATGTCACTCCAATCCAGTGGCACACTGATACATTTGCAGTCCAATTTTTCCTCAGTAAATTCGAAGAATCGAACAGCTGGGATTTTAAGGCAAACAGTGCTGATTGATCTGTTTGGATGCTACGTTTGATGAGGGCTATCGAAACAGTAGGAAGACTTAGCAGCAATACAAGATGAAAAAGGACGGTAATTATATCCATGAGAAAAAGGGAGGGAGGAGTTGCAGAGGAAATCAGTAAAGACGAGGATTGTGAAACTGAAGATGAAACGTACAGCCGGATGCGTCGGTAGTATTTGTAGTTTTGGAGCCACTTTGTCTGAACACCCTGGCAGCTAAAGATGGTCCAACGTCGGAAGAAATAATTTGACGAGTAAAAATTATTATATTCACTATAATAATGGATTTATACACTAATTAGATATTTACTTACCCTACCCTTGCAAATGACGGTGATAAATAGAGATTAGCAAATTTTAGTAGTTTTAGCATCTTTCTTTTTAATACCCAAATGACTTTATTATCATCTTTATTATATATAAAGCGCAAGGGAGAGATTTGTGTAAACAAATTGTGTCATCTAATATGTTACTTAATCTACTCTTTTCGCTAAAAACAATTAAGTCATTTTAACTATCCATCTCCCTATCGCCACTCTACATTTGTTGAATTAACTACCACTCTCTTAATAAACAAACTATTACTTCTCTAAAATACTAAACATTTGAACTATTTTAAACTACTATTTTCCAAAAAAAAAAAAAAAATCATACGAATCATTTTTATATCTTTTTATTAGTTGCACACACATGAATATCTTCACTCACTAGTTATTATTAATTTGGGTATCCTAGTGTCCTGGGATTTAACATAAAGGAGCGGGATTGAAGATATGGGAAGAAAGACTTGAATCTTGAATTTCTACATCCTCAGACCTTGGCCAAGAAGTTGATAAGGTTGTCAAACAATTTATTGAATTTCTTTTTTATTTATACTTGTATTTTTTATTTTTAATAAAATCATTAACAATAGCAAGTCACATTACTCCCATAGCCTAGCTTCACCGGGTCACTGATGCTTCAGTCATTAAAAATTTGTACGGTAGCAAATAAAATATTTAAAGTATACTTATTGTAACTTTCACTAACTTTTGTGAAAGAGTCGAACTTTTAACTTTCTTAAAAACGTGAATTTTAAGAAAGTTGTAAGGGGCCCTCAAGTCAACATTTCCTCATAAAATAATTATATTTATAACACGTAATTTTACCAAACTCTTGAGATTTATGACCAAATTATTATTATAATATAATGCCAAAGTCACGGTTGGAGGCAGGGAACAGTGGGGCTGCCGCCCTATGCCTGAGTTTTGAGAAATTTAAATTTTATATTACACAATTTTAAGAATTTCGACATTAACTCCTTTGCCCTTCACCCTAAAAAAATTCGCTTAATTTCCTCCCTCTCCCCCTAACTTCTCTCTTTAACTATATTCTGACAACAATTTTTTGTTGCTTTTTGTACTATTAATTTGTAAATGGATGATTAATTTCTTGTTTTAACTAATCACACTTACGATTATACTATTGGTGTAATTTCTGTGTTTTTCTTCCTTTGTGCCTAGAAAAGAATTATCTTATTGAGTCGAACAGTTTTCATTTGCGACCATCCTTTGAACGAAAGAAAATTAATTCCAGAAATTTGCTTTTACTTCTCCATTAACATTCTTTAAGAATTAAACCAAACTACAAAGTAAAAAAAAAAAAAAATTAACCATTTTCAGTCAATTTAAGGAACTATACCCGAACAAACTAATCCCCATTTGCTCAATCTTTACATTTCACAGGAACAAGCAAGAAAAGGGAAAGGAATAGCCAAATAATTCTTGGACAAATTTATTATCTACCATCGTAAGTTGTAACTTATAAGGTTTTGTAGCTTAATTGATTCTATATTCTTTGTGGAACAAATATTTGTTGCAAACCATATGACAAAACAAGAAAAGTGCATCACAATTATGTTGAATTTCATTCAAGTACACTTTGTCATTGAGTTGGCAAAACGGATGATCGAAGAGTGTGCATTTTATGCCAATAATATAGATTGGAAACGTGTAAATTAATCGGATATAAGTCTGGTAACTAAATAGTAATTATCTGCTGCACTGATGATGGAGTTGTTAATTGCTAATTGCAGTCATAACAAAGTTTCGAAAGAATCACGTTACACAGCTATTAGTAAGGGTGTGCAAAATCGAAAAATTCCAATTTACCGATCGAATTCGAATTGAATTTCGAATTTCGAATTCGGTAATTCGGAATGGAAATCAGAATATCCAATTTTGAATTGGTCGAATTCGGTAATGAGATTTTTCAAATCGAAAATTCCGATTCCGATTTCGAATTCAAATTTGTTTTTTCATATATATATATATATATATATATATATTATATAATATAACATTTATATTATAATAATAATTTTTATATTCATGAATTCGGTGAAATCAAAATTCCTATTTCGATTTCAATTTCGTTTTCACAAATAGATATATAATATTTTTTTATAGATATGTAATATAATATTTGTATAATAATAATAATAATTTTTATATTCGTGAATTCGGTGAAATCAGAATTTATCTAATTATGAATTGAATTCAAAACGAATTCGAAATTGGTGAATTCGAAATCGAAATTAGTTGAAAATTCTGATACCAAAATTTCAAAAAATTCCGATTTCAAAATTCCGAATTACCGATTTCGATTTCGATTCACATCCCTAGCTATTAGCGTAGGTGGGACTTGGGATAGAAATAACCGGCCAAGAAATCACCGACAGTCGCTGGCTGTCCCTTTCCTCACTCTGCATTCAATTAATGTAGTTTCACTCTTAATTTGGTTTTCTGTGATGGCATAACCTGGATGTGGAAACCAAATGAAGTATATTTCTTCTCCTGCTTTACCTTTGCCGGGCATGGCTCAAAGTCATGGTCGCGGTCATGGTTGTAACTCGGACCGTTCCACATCGGTCTCGACATATTGGTCATGGTCTCGGCAAGACACAAAATTTTGAAATATTTAATATTCTAAAATTGTAAAAAGATATGATAAACAAAAATAATAAAAATTAGCAAAAATAATAAAAATTCGAATTGACTCGAGATGACTCGGGACAACAAGGCCGTTTCTTTCCGTCTTGAAGACGTTTTGGCCGAGTTCTCAGTGACTCAACCGAATTTTCGACTATCCATTATCTTGGAATCATCTCATCTCGATATCGGAACGAAAAACCTGTTCTGGTGATGACTCGGCCGACTGTTTGAACCATGTTGCTGGGTCATTTAAGATGTGATCAGGCTTGGTATCTTCACCTTCGGAGTGATTCACTGACGAAGAAATTGAACTTTGTTTTTTTTCTTTTAGTTCCTTCAGAGCTTCTTTTATGTCCATTCTCTCCTCTGGTGATTCCACTGTGCATGTAACGGCCATTTCCATGACTTTGAAGATAAATTGCACGATTCTTGTTGAATTTTCGTCTGGGGGAGTTATCAAGTTGTGGTCTACTAGATCCAGTTCTGGATTTTGCAGCAAATGCCTTATCCAGTATTCAATCCATAATCTTATGTTTTTGTATATGTATATGTATGCATGTATTGCACATAAGCGAAACTACATATGGGAATTTAATGCAAAAAAAAAGGAGGAAATCTTGTAAATGCAAGGTAGCATAATAATTGTCAGTGTGTACATTTGCATGATAGGTTTGGTATAATTTAAGTAATTGGGATCTTCGGTCCAACTATCTGATGCCAAATCCAGCGTCAATTTCACTTATCACGTAATGATAAAGGAAACTTGAATTAAACCTAACCAATTTGATTTATTAAAAAAATTAAAGAGCACGTAACAATATAAATAAATAGAACACTTGATATAAATATAAAAATGGCATTAAGTTGCCACTGAAAAGTGGCGCTAAGGATGCCATGTGTAATTTAGGTATCTCAATAAGTGTTCACTGTAACCCGTTAGATAAAAAAAAGGGTAAATTCCACTTTACCCCCCTGTGGTTTAGCGTTTTTTCACATAACCCCCCTATGGTTTCAAAAGCTATACATAACCCCCTCATGGTTTGGATTAAAGTGTCAAAGTAACAGAAATAGTCACTCGTAACGGAACTTCTAAAAATGTCGAAATTACCCTTATAAATACATGACACATTAACCCCCTATGATTTTTATATTTTACCATATAACCCCCTTATGGTTTAATACTTTATCATATAACCCCCTTATACTTTTCAAAATATACACATAACCCCCCTTGGTTAATACATAAATTTCAACCTTACATAAGGGTATTTTTGACATTTTAGGTGACGCCGTTACGAGTGACCATTTCCGTTACTTTGACACTTTAATCCAAACCATGAGGGGGTTATGTATAGCTTTTGAAACCACAGGGGAGTTATGTGAAAAAACGCTAAACCACAGGGGGGTAAAGTGGAGTTTGCCCTAAAAAAAATCATAATCAAGCATGCATTCATTTCATCATTTAACATGTACTGTGATAGTTTGATCTCATAGACGTACTAGCATTTTTTTCCACCCATGAGATGGGCTTTTTCGTATAGATTTTTTCAGATTTCCTTAAGCATTTTAGTTAAAGAGAATATATTAACATTGGATCTAGACTGCTATTTCCATTTCTGTTTGAAAGATTCCAGCAGGAGCTAAGGGCAAGAACTGGACTATTCATGGTCCTAAATTTGCCAACAAGGCAAAAATTCAAACCGTAAGAATCAGAAAACGTTGCTCCATAATTCTAACATTACTATTACGTACGGGCCACACGAATAGTAAATGAGTAAAGCGTCCCAGTTACGATGATGCACAAGCTATTTACATTGTGTTACAACTCGTTAAAAGGCTCTTACATTATTCAGGAACGGTTGCACCCCTTCCCTCATAGCAGTTTTCAGTATCTTTCCTTGTTGAAGTGCATTCTACCCACATTTTTTGGGAAAATTTTCTTGTTAACATTAGTATTGCTTCCTTTGTCTTGATTCATTGAAATATACGATTTTGGTAAGATATTTGAGATGCAAATTAAGATAGGGCAAATTTCACTTTATCCCCTGTGGTTCAGCATTTTTTTACATAATTCCCCTATGGTTTCAAAAGCTATATATAACCCCCTCATGGTTTGAATTAAAGTGTCAAAGTGACGGAAATGATCATTCGTAACGGAGTCATCTAAAATGTCAAAAA